TTTGGCCATTGTCGTGCTTGGAATACCTCAAAATTCGGGAGTCCAACTGAAACCTGGACACATAAAGAGTCGAAACAGTACCGAAAATGAGAATGTGTTCAATGCTGGAGTAGTTGTGAATTTTTGTGTATGTTTTGATTTTCTCAAATGAAATGATCACTGTTTCGAATGAATTCAGAAAGAGATCTTTTGTGTTGTTGCGTTGTCTGCCCTGACCTCAGCTCTAGTCAGTCAATTCTCAAGGCCATTTTGGGGTTGAGTAGCGAAGCGTTATGTTGAGAATTGAGACGTGCAACATTGACAGCCGCTCTTGAATATCAATGCCATTCCGGAAGAATTATGGCGTGAAATCCGAGACCCGAGTAGCTAGTGGATGTAGCAATATAAAACTTGTTGACCGAGTTGAAATGTTGAGAATTGAGATACGCAACAATTCTATCCTTCTTTCTTACTGTTGGACTGTCGCATTATGGTACTGTTGTGGTAATGGTTGTCAATTTGTTGTGTGGTTGAGTGAAACTTCCTATGGGATGGAACATAAGCGTGCTTACTAACGTTTGGATGACTAAGACCACCCTCAGCAAATTGAAACAACAATCCTGAACATGGAACTTGATCATGTACCTCGATCAGTTGAAATGACTTTTGTACAACGGACGGAGAAACGAGTTTCGTTCTTATTCATTGTGGATTGCAGAAGCTATTATCGTGAGATTATGATATCGGTTCAACACCCACGAAGCTCGAGAGCCACAATCTGACAATTAAGGTTCCCACTAGTCACAGACACGCGCGAGTCATCTACCTCTCCCATCAAAAGCATAATTGTGATCATTTCCCAGATATCCAAGGATGATGCCTGGCAGTTTGGTTTGTGTATGGACAAACGGGTGTGAAACCGGCTGAAGAAAAGAAGCTTTTGATATGGAAGCTTTGAGGTCATCTATGGCCATCTAGAATCGGACTTAGGGAACATGACAGCAAACTAGAACCAAGCACTGAACCTCTGAAAGAAATATGTTCTATCACGACGATCTCACATCTCAGCCTTGTTTGGATATGGCTCGGCTACAGTAGTTGATCGTAAGCCTCCCCAGGTTTTACAGCTCAGCCGCTAATTGTCGAAAATATCACATCTCGGCGATCCTCCATGAGTTATTTCCAACCACTCACCTACAATATCGGTCTTCCAGAATCCACGGGAATACTGACAAGTTCGGAAAGTATGCCCGTCTCCGTTCTAGATATGCAACAAAGTCAAGCAGTGATTTAGAGATCAAGGCCATCGTGTTCTATGATCTCGGATTTGTTCCAGTTGACCGTTGGGTTGGCGAACGTTGGCGACGCACATATGCTAAAGTGTAAGAGCCTCAATAACATGGGTATTTTTTCCTCGTTCCTTTTCATGGGTAGGTCCATCCAAGCGTTTATCTAAGGTAGTGGGGCCTCAAAAAGGGTTTCCTCTCGTACCACGACTCGTGACAGTTGTGATAATCTTGTAGTCAATACAGTTTTGCGTGATGGCTAGTCAGCTCTACTCACTAACAATTTCCAAAGGAAAACGTGGCAGCTAGTCTCGCTCATTTCTGCCATATCGGGTTCACCCCTTCTCGGACATGCTTCTTCTTGTGGAATGTCAAATCGTAAATGGACATACATCCGTGACAGCATGAATTCATGCAATATTTGTTGCATGTCTATCGCTCAGAATTTCCTCTCATCAACTCTCACCAGATCTCAAAGAGACAGAGTATTCAGTATATATCTATATTATGCACAATTGTTGCACATTTCATCTTTGCGTCATGCCTGTCAATTATGCGGGTCATACCCGTTGGCCATGCATTCTAAATTAAGATCCCATGACAAACGCCGTGGCGGAGACCGCCGACTGCACATTTACGACTGACTCAAGGGCACAAATTGTCGTACCATTTTAACTCCACCTCTAATCGAACACAAACGGAGTTCCTTTCACAGTATTAAAGTTTTGCGCCGCAGAAGGCATTGTATTGGCTCATCCGTCCATGAAATCATTTTGTTGCACGTCTAACAACTGAGTCTGAGTCGTGGTGAGGATGCACGCCTCGCTGAGCTTTGTACACATCGGTGGGTATTTGTACTCGCGCCATCTTACCCCGAGTTATTTCTCTAAATTGTGGAAACATTGCGGACATCCCCGACCTCTAGAAGCGCAGCAGGGAAAAGACCCTTTGTTGCATACCTGAACATTGACTCGTACCTTTCATTATGGGTATAATCTCCTTCTGGCCTCTTCGTATTCGAACCGTCAGATGGAACCTTGGTTTCGTTGCATATCTGAGATTTTGAATGTTGACTCGTAGGTCTTTCTGGTGGAGACTTTCGTGGGTTCTGAACGTTTGTTGCATGTCTGAAATATTGAATGTTGACTCGCAGTTCTTTCTGGTGAAGACTTTCGTATATTTTCAATGTTTGTTGCATGTCTCAGTTTTTGATATTGACTCGTTCTCTTGTTTGCAGTGGAGGCTTCAATATATCTTGACAATATAGAATGCATTTGTTGCACATCTCATTTTTGCAAGTTGACTCGTGGTATTCTTTTCATTCATCGAGGAAATTTCAAGCACAAGGATAGAGGGAGAGGGTTTTACCCACATTCTGTCACTGCCATTTCGAGGGTGAGTAAGATCACTTCAGTCTGGATACTCCATGTTTGATTCACATGAAGAAATCCACATTCCATTTTCATCTTATTCAATGTGTAATTGCATTTCGTCGCCTTATGAGTACTCTTATACATCTTTCAAGCCTGGCCTTATATTCCCTTTTCATGCATGTATTATCTTCCAGACATTTACATTCTCAATTTTTATTTATAAATTCAATTCGCGATATGGTGGTCAACACGGGGTCCTTCTATCCTGATGATGGCCTCTTCCAATTATTGTTCCTTCTTTCAAATCGTCTCTGATCATATATGGGCTATTCCTTCGTTGCATTAATGATCACAGATCCATTGAACATTCCAAGATCTTGCCCCTGGTTCGCGCTTGCGAACCAACCACTGAGCTGAACAGTCCCGGCAGAATCTAAAATTTGATTTATCTCGCGCCCGTTCTACGGTAGATATCGACGACGTTCTGGCAATTTGAGTCATTATGTCGATGGTTGAGAATGAAGCAGGAAATAGACTCCTTCTGTTACGAGAGTACGTGCTTGTTATTTCTCTTGGGTTTTCTACATAAATCCCTGGGCTACTTCACTTGGGATCAGGGTTCTTAGACTGCCCTCCTTGATTAAAAACATGGGGAAAACACACTTATGTTCTATACTTCACTCGCTACTGCATGAGAATCTCTCACGATCATTTTCTAGTCATAAATAGTCAGTCCACGTCCGGGGTAGAATTTCAATATAGTTTATGTGTCTTTCTTGGTTTAAATCGTGGGGTTACATCTGGCATAGTTGCAACAGAATATCTCTCCAGCCGGTCTCGTGATATCAGGAGGATTTCCGTCTGAACTGTCATGAGTTCCATATGTATTGTTTCCTTCGTACGACAATAGGAACTCTCTTGGATTCAGATGCCAAGACATGAGCTCAAGATCGTCGTTGCTACCACGGTACGAGACGGCGAGGTAGTATTCAACATTGCTAGAGCTGATCAGTCGCTACATCTCTAAATCGATGGCAAGGTACAACTGGGCCATCAATTCTCTTAATTTTTTCATTTTTTTGGTTGATACATTTTATTAACTGCTGAGACCACTCATTGAGATATCTTCAGTTCTTGGTGAATCAAAGACAAGCTTGTCACCCTGGCAGATGATTTTCCAAAAAACCATCCCAGTCCTGAAAATTCAAGAGTCATTGTCAAATGTACACTGTATATATTGCCCGCTTCTCCTGAGTCCTGAATGGGGTTCAATTGCTACGATGTCATCACCACGTAAGTATGGGAATATTTTTCTCGACGAACGAACATTCACCCGTTCAAAGGCAAAGTACATGTTTGCCCTTCGAAAAAGAACTCGAAACGGAAATGGTTTCATGGGCCCAATAAGCAATTGTCGGGCTCTGAGTAGCCAGTCGGTGATAATAAACAAGGCAAATTGGACTGGCGAATTGAGGGGCTTCGTAAATCCTCCTCCAAAATCGTGCCTGCATTGATCTGATCTTTTAAGCTTAAACTCATGAGCATTAATCCATCCCATCACTCATTGTACTCTCTTGGCGACATGACGGCGCTCTTGGCTCACACTTAATCATCAATACTGAAGGCTGAGCCGCAACGCAAATACATCTGGGGGAAAACTTGGCATAAGCTTACTACATATCGATCACATTATCATCCCAATTCAACGAGCTGACGATTTGGATATCCTATCATTTCGCTAACTATTTCGATTGGTTGTAGAGATTGTCTCCTCATTCGCAAACCCCAAGTCGTAGAATAACTCTAAAGAAAGAAAATACAGAATCGCAAAAACAGTTGAACAGCCTATCCGATCATCAGCCTCTCAGCATTCTATCACATCATCATCTAGTATCTCGATATAAGCGCTTGGCTTGTCTCTTAGCTGGGCTATGAACGTTCTACATGTGTAGAACATCAGAGATGGCGCTTTAGAAGTTCTTAGGGATACTAACGCCAGCCAAGGTTAGCATCATGTATATGATGTATTTTGAGCCAAATGCAAACTTTCGACGCTTTTGGTACATTTTTTGGCTGAAGTATCGAATCCTTCTTGTGAGTAATGATCTTGGCATCTTGAATTCTGCCAAGTCGTCATCAAAGAAACTGGAAATCTTGAGAATATAAAAGTTCTTGATCTGCTATCAATTTCATTCCTCAGTTCACATATCTATACCCTTTTCTTTCTCTGGTGTTTTTCCGATCAGCTTTTCTGTTCCTTTTCTCTCCCTTATTTACTTGGTTGAAAACACATTCTTTCCATTTTCATCTCTCCCTCATTCTCCCAAATATTTCTTTCCTCTTTTCTTCCCATCACTACAAAATGCATTCTTCCAAATCCCAAGCCATCTTCTGTCTCATCATCTCCCAAGTCCTTACAACCACCGCTTCTCCCGCCCCCGTCAAAGCCCGCGAAGCACTCGCTCCCATCCCCTCCAACTTCAACCCCGGAATCTTCGCCATACAGCCCAACAACGGCGGCGGCGCCTCCGACAACTGCGGCAATGGCCCTATCACTCTCAACCGCGACACATGGACATCCCACAACATGGACCAACTAATCAGCGACATATTCTCAACTGGAATGAGCGATCCCAATTTCGATTTCCACCAAACATTTGGCAACCGCTACAATGTAGATTTCTACTGTCCCAACAGCTTCGATAACTGCGACACTACCCCCGCCAGCTGCAGCGCTCTGAGCGGAACGCCTGCAGAAAAGGAACAGGGTTGGTTGGGAATCAAAGCGATGATGAATGTGCAGCAGATGTATCTGCAATGGGAAAAAGTCATGAGTAATTCGCTTGATACGCTTACGCAGACTAGTGCGGATTTTTCAATCTGTACGTTTTTCGAAATCTTTCCTTCACAATGAAAAGAGGAGAATATTAACAGCATCCCCTAGAACTTTGCTCCTACCACCCCTGGTGCAAAAATCGGTACCAAAAACGCAGTGACGGTTATCTCCGGCGGTCTTGCCGTCGCAGCTGTAATCGGAACCTGCTGGGTACCCGGAGCCCTCGCCTTTACTCTCCCGGTACTTGGTACACAGATCACCGCCGGTATGCTCACAATTGGTACTGGCATTGCTGCCGGAACAGCAAGTTTAGCCGGCACCATCGCGAATGACATTCAAGATAGCAAGGAATCTGATGAACTGAGCGTGTTGGAATTCTCGGATTACTTACCGGTGATGAAACAACTGGCGTTGAGCTCGCTGGAATTTTCTCACAGCGGAACGTTTTCGAATGGAAAGGTGAATGGGAATAGTGTGGGGACTGTATGTTGTTCTCATTTCTTGCATGCTTTGCTTTCTGTGCGAAGAATTAACTACCTAACTAACTTTGTCATCTAGTTGAAAGATCTCCTCACAGGCGGTGCATTCGCCGGCGACGAAGTCTTACAAGCTTATGTTGGTGGCGAGAATGGTCTCGACGGACTTTTTTCCCGCTATGCAGCTATCAAACTCCTGCAGGCATATTGGGAAGCGCAAAATGCATTTTTCATCTACATCCCAGATGTCGTCAAAGATTGTTCGGGATGGCACGGTAATACCGGTGGAAAGAATGCTGGTGATCCCAGAAGATTTTGCGGCGAAAAGGGTATGATGATTTTAGCAGGCGTTGACAACAACTCCAAGTTTTCTGCTCCGACGGGTATTGATAATGGGAAGGTTGCTTCTATTGGAGGATTCAATATTCGTTCGTCTCCCCTCTTCTCATCTAATTTATTCCTCCTATTCCCCCTAAGCTTTTCCATTGACTCTCTCTCAGAACTCCAACAACTCTACGCCAGCACCTACAACATGTACACCGGACATGGCCTCGACGCCTACAAAGACATCACCTGGCACATGAACAACATCGCACGTGAATTCGTCGGCAACAATGATGCTAACAAAGCATATTCCACCGCTGGATTTTTCACCTTGCCCGTCTGTGAATTGAAAGGTTACAATTGGAAACAGAGTGATAACATGCATAAGGATCCTCCTTGTGATTGCCGTGAGTAGATGTCTCTCTCCCCCTTTCCAAATTATAGTCGAAGATGATGGAGAGTGCGTGATGGAAGCAGCAGCCTAGTAAATAAACGGCATATGAACGAATTTGAATGGACACTAATATGAAAATAGTATGTGCCCAAGATGCCTGGGGCCATAAGTTCCTCGATTATGCTTCTCAGCCTATCAAAGATTGGTTGAAGAGTTGCCCACCGTGTTCTTAGGAGTCATCATGACTTTTCAAAGCCAGATCTTACAAGAAATCTCTCTAATAGTTCGGAAGAATTGTACAATAATTCGGGCTTATCTACTCAGATGTTGGACAAGAGGAGGTTTAGAAGTTTTCGAGCGATAAATTGACGGATAGGTTGTGGGTCTAAGATTTCTGCATTTTGTTTTCCGTATTTTGTCTGTCATTACAGGAATTTCTTTGCTCTCTCGAAGCATAGCTATTTTCTAGCCACCTTTTTTGATTTTTGAGTTTGCTCCAGATGTATGCCAATGGTTGGAGTGAAGCACATGCATTTGCAATGTGAATTTTGTTCCATTTTATTTATTCAAACGAACCTCTGATCTAAAGAGGAATCAATGTATTCAATGCTTCCATAGTTTGCGAGGCATAATTACATATTTGAACGAGCTTTGTGTAAGTCGGATATCTTGATCGAGGAAAGGCGAGAGTATATAGTATATTTCTGAAGTTTTCATTCACTGCATCGGCACAAGTATTTTTTTAGTTGTATTATGCAACTCTATTGCGAAGATAATCATCATACCGCTCTCTCTCTACGCGTCATAAAAAGCCACCCACTTTTTAGCTATACACCTAGCCAGCCAAAGCGAGCTATCGCTGTTAACCCAAAAATGCTCCCCCTCAAAACTCGACCCGTTCCCGCATGCCCATTTTCGCCTCACACAGTACCACCCACCAGAAAAAGCAAAGCAAAGATAGCAATCCCCCAACATAAACCCGCCCATTGCATTGTAAACATAAACCCAAATGTATGTATGCAATTACCTCAATCATCATCTATCTCTGTATTGTGTAAACTTGGACGCGTACCGAAACCTAGACACAATAACAAACCCAAACCGAAGCCATTTCGACACTTGATCCATTAATTCATGCATGAGACGAGAAAATCAGAAATCAGTCGTTAAATAATACATCGTAAGGCAAGTCGGAATTTGGAACCCGATCCCATGAAAAACGCCTTGAATCCATAAAGTAACCATCCCACGGGAGTAAACACCGTATGTATGCTACCAGCCGGCCCCCGATGCCATTTCTATGTTTTCCTTCGCTAGTCATAAATCCTATATGACTTTTTGTGTGATTGCAAATGCCGCAAATGACCAACCATTGCACTAATCAAGGTGCATCGAAGAATAACTCGATATTATTATTTTCCACGTCCCATTTAGTCGCGTCGGCTGAATCTTTATCATCATCTATTGGTTTCCTATCAATCGATGTTGACTCTTTATTCCCGATCGGCTCCTCATCTCCACTGACATTCGTAAGTTGTTCAAACATCCTATCTCCCAAAAGTTTGTCTTCGCCAGCAGTAACACCTAGAGGAGTGTGACCAACATTACTAACGCCCATCACAAAGTTATCTCTCATTGGACTATGGAGTGAAACAGAAGGATCCATCCTTGACAATCCTGCCTCACTGAAAATATTTGGTTGTTGAGGAGATGCATGTCCGAATGTAGGGGTACCGTTTGCATTCAGATAAGCATGTGGTGCAAAAGCCGGAGATGGATTTGCCGAAGCCGCCATGCTGGTATACGGATCGTGGCCGTAAGATGCATAAGGATGCGCATGATCATGAGCACTTGGGAGACCACTTAGAATCGGACCATGTGAACCCATAGTTGCCATGTTTGGTCCAGAACTAGTTCCAAAACTATGAGTGGTAGGGGTCCCAGGCTGTGATCTTCCTGGGGCAGGTTGCAAAGGCATTGGTCGACTTCCACTAGGCTCACTACTCTTCCTTTTGAAGTTATGAGGTTTGGTTCTCAAATTTTGTGGCAAAGCTTCGGGGTCATTAACACCATGCTGTGCCATCAACTTTTGAAGTTTTGTTGGTCTAGGCTTTCGTGTTGATTTCGAAGATTCAAGTACTGGCGGAGGATCTGGCGCGACTGGTGACCATTTGTGAAGTTCTTGTCTAAAGAAGTTGGTTTCATAGGCAAGTAAGATTTCTGAACCTTCAATCTTTCGTAAATAGAATCGTTGGGTTTCAGATTCGTCTGCTGTTGACATGACTGGATTGCAATAGGGTGCAATATGATTTCGGAATTCCTGAGCATTGTTTATGATTGATTCGAGGATAGCCTCTTCATCTGGCTGGAATGGTAATGACGGAATCTTATCTTGCCATGTTTGTAGATCTTCGAGCTTTGGTCTAGCCGCATCGCGAGGAATCTTTACACGCCAATCACATATGGGACAGGTATATTTATCATCATCCTTAACTTTACCACGAGCAATCTTTAAGCATTTGCCATGGTACCTATTGTTAATTAGCAAGACTCCAGGGAAAAGAGACGAATAACTGACCATTCATGACAAAGCTCACACTCAATCATCATACCGGCTTCAATCCTTCGACAAATACAGAATACCTCCCGAAATCTTGGATCTTCCCAACTGTGTAATTTTTCATTTGAAGGAGAAGGTTCGCGAGATAACGGTTCAGCCGGAAGTCGTGGTTTATCCTGACTGATATCGAAGCAATCCACATTTCGTTCCATAACATACTCCATATGTTGTTTGAGAATATGTAGAGGGGCATTTGCCTTGCCGAATAATTTCTTCCCTTCTCGCATCCAATCCTCATGTCGCTTGATTTCTTTTTCCAAATCAAGAGTACCGCTTGGTTTACTGCCCAATCCTTGGAGTTCCTTTTGAAGAAGAGCGACCTCCGCATAGGCAGGACGTTTCATGAAATCGGGATCCCTACAACGGTCATATAGCGAAACGATCTGTTTATGAACTTCTCGATGCTTGTTCAGGATTTGATCAACCTTAGCCAATGTTTCTTGTGATACAGGTAGCGACGCAGCCTGAGCTTGTTGAGACAAAGCTTCCAACTGTGGATAGTGAACAGTCTCTGCACCAATAACTTCTTTGGCTTTGATTTCCCAATTCATACCAGCGATCTTTTGTTCCTTGTAATAGCTCAAGTAATCGTTATAGTCGGAAACTTGAAGTTTTGTAGCTTCGTCGATGATATCGCTGACCTCCTTTAGAGAGAGAAAGATTCCACGATTATCACGGGCTCGATCATTCCACTTCATTTGTTGAACTTCCTTCTCAAGCTTATCAATCTCGACCATGTCGACATTGAATCCTCGTCCAACTTCTAGAAGTTCTTCAAACTCAGTCGTACGACGTGAACTTGGGTGGGCTAAAGCCGCTCTGGCATCGGTCTGGAACTTCGTGATGGCATCCGCTCGCTCTCGTAATTGATCAACTTCTGGACAATGGAAGCCAATTCTATCCGCATCTTTCAATAACTTGACAACGTTTTCGAATTTTCTTAATTCACGGTCCCTTTCTTCCATTTCTGCGGCTCTACTGCCCTTGCGCCAGGCCTTTTCGTTCTTTCGTCGGTTTTGCTGTTTTCGAACGGTGTAGTTTGTTGCTTCTTCCACCCATTCGTTACAACGATCAACAAATTTCTTGAGTGAAGGGAGGGATGGTAAATCATACGGGATGCGCTCTCCTTCATTCAAAAGGGTCCGCAAAGTTTTCAACGATGGAGTCGCATCTTCTTCGAGAAACTTTTCCACTTTTTCTTCCCAGATTTCAGGCAAACCTGCTTTATCAGCGACCTTTTGGTGCATACTTGAAATGGCTTCTTCTGTACGACGGTAATGAAGAGTATGGTCAGTACCCGCAAATCTTTCTGCTTCGGTGATATCGCAACATTCATAAGTACCCGCATGGAGAAGACACAGCACCTTGCCACTCTTGTTGCACTTGAATCTTGAGATATACGCATAAGCTTTGCAGTGAGTGCATTGATACTCCTCCTCTGGTACATCTTCTTCATCGATCTGGAATCCAATCTGACACCTGGGACCAGCACCTTCAATGACATCAGTAATGACACATGTATGACCATCTTCTTTGTGTTTATCAGTGAAATCTTTTCTTTGTGAAACCTCTCGATCGCGAAGTCGTCCAAGAGCAGGGGCTAGCCATTTGGCGGTCTGAATGGTAACACCGCCAGTTGCCGCACCTTCAGCTGCAGTCCATAAGAGTTCATCATGGGAAAAGCATGGCTGTCGTCTGAACTGTTGAAGGCGCTCAACTCCAGAATCCCCGAATGGTTCCCAGTCCGTGGGTGCGAAATTAACGGCTTCATTGAAATTAAAACCATGGTTAAATCCAGCATGGTATGCTTGAGGAAAGGTGATGACGAATTGACCAGCTCTTTGATCCAAAGCATACACTCTGACGCCTGCTTTCTTCAATTGTTCTGGGGTCAATAATGTGACCAATTGAAACAATAAGTCAGGTTGTGTTTCAAATAATTCGGGTACAGCTTCTCGCATGGCGTCTTCGAATTTCTCGGCATCTTCCCCTGGAATCCCGTACCAAGTCTTTGTTGATCCGAAATGTTGATAATTTGCGGAATATGCGTAGTGATCTTCATTGTGCCAGCAAAAAGTCGAAAAGATCATTCCAACGTACAACCAAGGTACAGTCATACCGGAGATATCCGATTTGATATGTCTGAATAGGGATTCTCCATGAAGTGGCATATTCGTCAAATTCCAGGGGTCGGTAGAGTAGGGATTTTGTGGTTGTCTTTCCAGGGTAGGAAATCCACTTCCGTGTGTAGTTGAATGAATGTCAGCACCGTATTCAACCTCGACAGTTTCTTCTAGGCTCGCAACCAATCTCCAGAATTCTCTTTCAATGTCATCTTCCGTAACTGGTCGAGGGCAATTGAGAACGGGATCAAATGGCATTTTGTTTTGGAAGTATCCTTCCTTGAAGTCTGCTGCCTTTTCTTGAAACTGCTTTAGTGAGTAGATTCCACCCTCTTCGAATCCAAATTGACCATCTCCAACTAAGCATCTAGGACAATGCCAATCAAAATCTGGTTTATGGGTCACGGGAGGATCAAGACATTGCATATGATGACCATAATCGCAAGATTCGCAAATCAGGATTTTATCAGCATCATCACCCTTGCCGCAAGTCTCACATTTCTGATCTGAATCTAAGTATGTGTCCGAACAAATGGTAGAGGAGATAGAAGATAAAGAAGAATCACTACTGACCTCCCCAGGTGTTGAGGATCCACGTTCTCCTGGATTTCTAGGTGGTGTTGGTCGAAATTGGGTCATATGTGATCCAGCCACAGTTGGTACAGCATCTGCAGGGGTAGTGTTAGCCGGGAACCTTGACCGCCAATGATACATCGAGGTTTCTCATTTAAACCTTACAATGTTACAATGGTGCATTCGCTCGATGCATGATGAATATGAGAAATGTAACTTTACCTTTCTTAAGTCGTTTGCTACGTCTTCCACCATTGTCTGAATCTTCCGGTGGTTGACTCCCTTTACCCGAATCCAAACTTTCATGACTTAATTGTCTCTTGAGTAATGGATTAGAAGTAAAACCATTCAATACCGGAGCTGAACTCAGCGCAGATGGTTTATACTCGGGGGTGTTTTTAGCTGATGAAATCGGACTATCGAATGGTCTTCTTGGCGTTGGTGTAAAAGTAGCGCTTGACTCTCGTTCACGGCGATTATTATTGACAGGTGTAAATGATGAAGGTGTAGAGTTGACAGCTGTAAACCCGCCAGCATTCACCGGAGTAAAACTAGATGTAGCTTGTGACTTTGGTACAACCGGAGCATCTAACATCGGAATATTCTTCATGCTCTTTTCGAACTCCTCCTTCATTACACTTGTGTTCAAAGCATCCGATGCGCGCATCGCAGGAGATTCACCCCTCAGACTCGATGGTGTATGTTGTACTGATCTCTTCATCGGCGAGTTTGCAGGAGATGGTGTAAGTGGTCCTCCGTATTCATATTCTAGTTGTTGATGTACTCCTGGTTTGGCCAATCGTAGGTATTCTTCGTAAGGATGCAACCATCTTTGATATGAGTTCTTCAATGACGTCGATAATGAGGACATTATCTTCCCACTGTATCCTAAATCTCTCCCGATTTCAGCCCATTTCTTAAGCTTGCAGACTTTCTCAAATCCGCCTCTGGTATCAACGGCCTTCTTAAGTTTGTACAAGTCGAGAGGTCGTTTATCGACACTAGGAAACCGATTGAGATTTGTGCCATGTTGTTTATGGAATTTAGCAAGTTGATCGAGATACGTAAGATTCGCTCGTGTGCCTAGATGTTGTTAGTAGTGGAAATGGGTAGTGTTAATAGGATTGGGTTATAGGGATGGATCCAGGTTGCGATTGAACTTACTGCCTTCGACTGAATTTAATTCTTGTTTGCGCGTGCGGAAGTGAAAACGCTATGAATCATTAGAATAGATCTGCAAATGTTTTATGTTGTGACCAAATGGTGTGAGTCGCAGATTCGCAAGGTAATTGTGTGGTTGCGATGGTAATGAATAAGTGGTGGTGAAAACGTACCTCGGTGTCGATCGCAAACTCTGGTTTCCAGGAATCTGGTGGAATAACTTTACAAATGCCATATTTTCCAGCTTCTGGCGCAATACTTCGAATGTATGCATAGGGATCTTTGAACTCTTCTGCCGTTGGTCTATAGGTTGGGGCTTCTTCCAAACCATGAGGACGCATCTTTTTTGGATTTTCTCGGCTGGCCGTCGGCTGTCCCCTCCTCTCTACGCTGGTCAAATCCAAAGGTGGAGAGATCATCGCACTCAAAGCTGTAGGCGCCGCAGCTGGATTGGAAGCATTGCCATTTCCATTTGATTTTCCTCGATTGGAACTTGAGCTGCCATTTGGTGTACCGATGGAAGGTGAGGCTCTCATGGTCGAGCTCGAAGCCGTTGTATTCATGGGTACCTGAACCATATTGGCGATTTAATCCACCAAAGGGGTAGGCAGACAGGTGCAATGCTCGTAGGTAGATGTTGATTGCGAAAATGAAGACGAAGGTTAAATTATCGACATCGAATTAAGAAAGATGGTGAAATGATATTCGTGTACCAATCGTTGTGATCGTTATGTGAAAGAATCGTGGAAGATCGTTCCCCTCGTTCGTACTGGGCTGGTAAGGCAGATGGAAAGAAAGGATGAGAAAAATGACGGTACGGTGTGGTTTGTGGTGTCTTGGAGCCGATATCAAACTAATCAATGCAAACGCATATCAGGAACCTAAGGTCAATACACTAAAATAGTTTGGCTCGAAATCAAGTAATGAAGGTTTATCACTTCTTGATTGCCCTGGTGTGGTTATCAAAGGGCGAATTGAATTGGGCGTGAACGAAGGTGGTAGACAAAGGTAGGTACGTAGAGATCTTGTGAAGGGCGTATTAATTATCTGGGGAGAAAGATGTGATGATTCGCCTGTGAGAGTGAGAATGAGTTTGAGTGAGGTTGGTTTGTAGTTCGAGTAATGAAGTATGGTGTGGGTGGATGTGGATTTTGGTGTGGATTTTGGTGTGGATGTGGATGTGGATGTGATATTGTGATATTGGATGTGGAGGATTTGATTTGAGAATGGTGGAGGGCGGATAGGATGTTTACGACTCACAAGAGAGAGAGAGATCCGGTTAAGCCGCTAAGGAAACCCTTAACACATATTCCGTCCGTACGCGGGCAGGTAGGCTCGTAGGTAGGCTGGCAGGTGTACCGGTACCCAGGTGTATCAAATGGGATTTTGATAAATGTGGAGAAGATGAAAGGAAAATGGGTTGGTTTATCTACCTAGGTAGTAGGTAGGTAGGCATGTCTTGCTGTATGGGAACGCTACGGCACAAAGAGTGGTGTATGGTTGGGGATTATTTCTTGGTGAATTGATATGATATTACAGATGTGGAAAATGAATTCACGTTCGATCATTCAAATTGTACCATGGACAGTGAGAGTGAGAGGTGACTGACTTGATACTCTATACGAGCTGCGTTCTGTTCCTATTTCTCTTAGCATGATATCGACTATCCTTGCATCTGTGTGGTGTGTGAGTGTGAGGGCGTGGATGAGGACGGGGATGAGGATCATAAATTGAGATACAGATGGAAGCAAGAATGATAATGTTGATTGGAAATCTTGATACGAAACAATTCTTTTCCATTCATCCAATTTTCCCCATCGTTTTCATTCCTCTTCCCCATTTTCTTCCATTTTACCTTCACATTGACATTCCTCCGTTCTCCCGTCCGTATCAATTTATTACCCACCTACTAGGCACTAATTCGAAGCTTTCCTTATGCGATTTATATTGCATGGGGTCATTTTGCAACCTCAGGCCAGAAGTCGTTTGGCTCACCAATGAAAAGCATTTGACGTTGACAAATGACGAAAAGCGTTTAGCTTGGGAAGCTTGCCTAGGTTGTGATATCAAAATTCAGAAAAGATGTGTTAGATGTGTTAGATGTATACCGGGATAAATGGATCAGTGGCTTCCAGGTTTTTTCACGGAGTGGAGTGAGCCAAAGTTAATTCTTCTAGATTTTGGGATGTTGAGCGGAGTGATGATTGATGAGTGAGTAGGATAAGTAGTACCTAGGTAGACTACAGTACAAGACTACTTACTGGTGAGTGGATGAGTGAGTGGATGAGTAAATGAGTTGATGGGTGATTGAGTGACTTTCATTTGGAGCAATTCAGATTAACGGATGGACTGACTGATCTGAACTGGTGATCTGATCTGATCTGATCTACCTGCCCTTGCCTTATCAATACCTAGACACCCAGCGATAAGTAGGTGCTCCTCCCGTCGGTATGAAATCATTTATGCAAGTCTAAGATAAACACTACCCCGAGTCTTTTGGGGATACAGCGTACAATCAATATTTGCTTCAAACCTGGAAGTGGTCAGAATTGTCAATTCAACCAGGGACGGGGGAACTTGAGAAGAAGAGAACTTCTGATGTAGGTGTCTATGTAGGGTAGGTACTAGGTACTTGAACCAACATCTTATTGCTTACTGCTGGGTTCTTGTTGTGTATATACCTACTAGGTAGTACTCTGTAGAAATCTCACGTAGGATACTATTAATAATAATTAATCAATTTCAATTAGGAAGGTCGTTTTGATTACCTACCTACCTGCCTACCCCATCCCTTCCTGCTTTTCATCTGATATGTTGGTGTGTTCCCAGATGTGCGGTTCTGGCGCTTTTCCAATGCCATTTGATGTTCAAGGATTGATGCTGATGCTGATGCTGATGCTGATGCTGGCTTGATGGTCTAGAGTACTAGGTACCTAGGTACAGTATTGTATTTTGTTTATTGATCAAAGGTAACAACCTTAAACACCACACACCACACACCACACACCACACACCACACATCACACACACACACACACACACACAAACCATACACAACACAACACATCGAACACATTAACTCTACATTCCTTGATACTATCCGCATAAGACTACCAGGAACTGGGGAATTTACCCCGGACCGCCGTCACATCGGCCATTTCACCGAGTACCCATATCGTCAAATTTATTCATCGTGCGTGCGTAGAGAATGATATAAGTGGCGTGGCAATTAAGTCAAGAACGGCATCCGAACAAAACAAAGAAAAAATAAAGAGGATTGTCAAAAAAAAGTACTTCTATAGTATATCTTCATTTTCTTCACCAAAAAATGGCCATCGATCGTCCCATGCCTGCATTTTATTGTTGTTACCTTCTTCGCTCAACGATTCGACATAGTGCTTTATATGTTGGTTCCACTCCAAACCCAGGTAAGTCCGAGGTTATTCAAAATCTTCCCCAACATCCAATCCATGGCCACGTACAATAATCAGATGTAACCATGCAACATATCATAACATAACAAACCGAGAGACTTGAGTGAGCTTACATTTTCTGACATTTAACCCCATGAAAAAATAGTCAGACGACTTCGGCAACATAATGGATTGGCAAAGGGTGGTGCCGTGAGAACAAGTCGAGGCAATTTAAGACCATGGGAAATGGCTTGTATCGTTACCGGCTTTCCTACCTCCATTGCCGCTCTACAATTTGAGTAAGTTTCTTGATATTGAACAATACATCTTGATACATCTTTAATACATCTTGATACATCCACGTGACACTCCTTGAGAGTTGACGTTTCTATAATTGAAATATCTTGATACATACATGTATACATATATACCCCTTCAGTACATACATTACCTTACTCACCCTTTCTTCCCTCCCTTACAGTATCCCTTCGTTCAACGCTCACCATGATTCTCCTCAATTCACACCCTCCACTTACTAACCTCCAGCAGATGGGCCTGGCAAAATCCACACATAACTCTTCATATCCCACCATCAGCACGAATTTCACATGCTACTCGAAAGAAACGATCGGGTCATCCAAAAAGACCTCGACATTCCCTTCAATCACTCTTATCAAACCTACATATTTTACTTAGTGTTCCATCATTTTCACGATGGCCATTAGAAGTAAGATTCTTTGCACCGGATGTTCATAAGGCTTGGGTTAAATGGTCGAAAGCGGCCACTGGATCTCTGAGGGATACTTTGCCCATCATTACAGATTTTCCACCAGCGGAATCAAAAGTGAGTGACGAGGATGGTGAGACCAGAGACCGACCCTATGGAATTGAAGCTTTGAAGGTAGCCTACGAGGACATCAAATCGCATTTAGAGAAAGGGGAACGAGTCTTTCGTTCTGATATGAAAGAATCGTGCGATATTTGTGACCAAGACCTTCAACACAACTCGGGTCTCTACACTATTTGCCCGAACATAGATTGTAATTCGATCACCCACATGACATGCTTGAGTCAACACTTTCTCCAAGGCGAGAAGGATGAGCAATCAAGTGAACAATTGGTTCCTGTCAAAGGGATGTGTCCTGGTTGTCAGACCGAAATTCGATGGAATGATGTGGTGAAAGAATTATCTCTTCGAACAAGAGGTCAAAAAGTGGTGGAGAAATTATTGAAACCAAAAAGAGCAAGGAAGGGAAAGGGCCCTGCAACATCGCAGGTAATTGTGGAAGCTGAGGGCGATGAAGGGGAAGAAGAGGATGAGCAGGAACAGGAACAGGAATCAGAAGATTACTTTGATGCAGACGAATTTCTTGCACAAGATGTCGAGCGAGAGGAGAATGAATTCATGGATTATCTTGATCCCGACGACTCCGATGCTGTATCCAATATCAGTATGGAAAGCAGTAAATCACTAAAGCGGAAGAAGACAATCGGTCCTATTACCAAACCAAAGCTTATTACTGTTATTGAGGATAGCGATTCGGATGAAGGGGAAGAATTGGCCTGACGGTGGAATTTGAATAGAGTTTATGTATATTTGAAACAATCCACTTCGAACCAGGGACTCAATTCTTAGGAGTGAGTTAATGAGTTCGAATTCGAGGTAATCTTACAATTGAACTGTTTGGAATCGACACCCGATATATACTTGTCAGATGTCTGCAAGCAGGGGATGATGACATGCCCAGGTGTGGATTAGAGTATACGTATCGGGTATTAGGTACTCGGTATGTACTCGAGCTTCTTCAATCCAAATCACACCAAATCGAAAGTTGGAGTGGAGTGCAAGTTGATTGTGGACTCTCGCTCTTTAGTCGAACTCCCACTTTCACCATCACTTCTGGCTACTGTTATGTGCTCTATCTTATCCAGCGGTGAGCCAATGGCAACGTCAAATCTATCATGGTTGATTCATTGTCTACTACGCGTTATCCATTATCGATGATGGTAGAAGCTCTTTAGAAAGATAATCCACTCTCATTAGTCTCATTGACACTTTTCAACAGAGCATACGTTCTTAATATATTGTATACATCTCTCTATACCTTTGATGAAAGATGACCAAGACTGGTATCCTTCCAGAGAGACAGGACTAGTTCATCCCA